TTTTAAATTGTGCATTTAGAAGTACGGAGGAATACACCTTACTTGCTTCCTGTTTCATCTGATGTCTTTCTAAGAACCCATCTATCAAGGGATAACACATTCAACAAAAACAAATGTTTTTTTCTTTTTCTGGAAAACACACACAGTAAAAGCAAAATTATACCATTAATTATACTTGGGCCCTGTTGCCCTCTTACCGTCAATTTTCTTGACATCATCTGGAATGAGTCACTTTGAATCGTCTGTGGTACTGGCTTCCCTGGGAGGCATGTCACTGCAGAAGCCCCACTAGGGGAGAAACTGTTCAATCCGTTCACGTGCCCCAGCCACTCAAGAACTGTGCTCATCGAAGAGTCCCCCTCCTTACACAGCTCACCCAGGAGAAGGCAGACTGGTTCTAGCAGGACGCAGGGCCTGACAGCGTGGTGCTTCACTTGGTACGTTTACAGGCTTTCACTGACAGTTTTAGGATTACCACCAAAACACTAAGATACACACACATATGCACAGATGCGTTCTGCACACAGATATGCCCGTAGAACTCCTGAGCCAAAGAGCACATGGAGATCGTCTTGTACAACCTCCCCACTCCCCGACCAGCCCCATTTTACAGATACCGAGACTGAGGCCAGCGACATTAACTGACATTTTCCACAGTCACTCAGTTCGTGTATGGGGACGTAACATCACCCAAATAAGAAGTATATGACAAAGAAGTGGAAAATAACAAGAAAGCAGGAGGGGAGGTTATGCTCAAAGAAGAGAAGCAGCCGTCGCCACTGGGGAAGCCACGCCCACCACGTGCAGATTGTCAGCCACGTGCTCTCGCTGGAGAAAACGTGTTAGTGGAAACTCTCGACTTCCTGCACATACACGCATCCTGCCTTGAGCATCTTAAATGCAGTCAGACTTCAGCTTGTTTAGTTAAATATCTGCTTTGCTTTTTATTCAAAGACTGCATAAGCCATGACAAGGCTTTCTGTTGCCTTACATTTGCACGCGCACAAAATGCTTCTGCCCAGAATCGTCTTCTGTTCAGCAGGATGTGCGTGGGATGAAATGATTGTAACTGTCTCGTGCATCATTGTTCCACGGATGACACCTCTCACTGCTCTGACCACAGAGCGGTTGGTCGCCTTCTGGCGGGAGGTGGAGGAAGGGCGGGTGCCGCTCACGCTGAGTGCACACAGGTGGTCCTGCCCCACCCGCGGCCTTCTCTGCTTCTGTCTTGGGCGGTTGAGCCAGTGATGGGCTTCAGGAATCTAAAACACCATAACGATGAAGATTTATCACAAAAGTTGCCTTATTTACCCTCCCAGAGCCCTGTCCAGATTTTTAGTCACATATTTCTCATTTTGAAAGCAACTAAATGTGCTAGTTTGAACATCCTAATGATTTCAAAACGTGTTGCTGTCTAAATTGCTTTGGGCACAAAAGCACATTTGAGAGGGAGGTAGGATTTGCCTTTTTATGCATAACTATTTGCAGTGAAGAGACAGGGGTCTCCATAAATAGCTGTCACCCCCAACAAATGCACATTTCAGAAAAATCAAAGCTCCTTATTTCTGCTATGTATTTTTCTACTGAAACATTTTAATTGGGGCTTTCAGTGAGAATAACATAATTTTACCTGTATTGTGTGTGTTGTGGTGAATTTCAAAACAAGGTCCGGTTTTAATTGCGAATGACTAAATTAGATGCACAAAAAGCTTTTCCCCTGCTCCCCCAGCCCCCAGCGAGCATCATGTTATTGTCATTAGAATAACTCGCATCTGTTCCTTTATGAGCTTTCCTCTCTTATGGTGCATGTAATTATGAGGTGTACGCGGTGCCTTCTTTCGTGGTGACAGCGTCATCCTGGAAGTGCTGATGGCCGTGCGAGATCCACTGGATCCCCGTGCAAGAGAACAAGCCTCCCAAGGCTCTTCCTCAGACACATGCAAAGCGCTGGGACTTACCCCTGACGCCCTCATACGTTGGCTTAGAATTACTTTCTCATTTTTCACTGTGTTGAGTAAACCTTTCATCAAACCCTGAAATCAAAGGAGCAAATTCCAGTTCTAGGCACAGAAGAGAGAAGGGCCGCGCAGGTCTGGTGAGGCAGCAGCCATCTGGCCGCAGGTGGTATTCGGGGGAGAGCCAGTCAGGGGCTCGGGGATGCAGCCGTGACCTGCTTCCAGGATGTCCAGGGCTTGCCACTTGGGGTACAGAGCGCAGTCCATCCAACTGTCCTCACCAAGTGCTTTGATCCTCTTTGCTTCTCCAGGCTTGGTTCGCACGTTCTTTATTCCCTGCTTCGTCAGTTTTTGAGTTGAGTGTTGTAATTAAGGTCCTCTCAGCCAGACTTCTCCTGCTGGAGCTAGCAGGATAGTTCAGACTCGTCAGCTGGCCAGAAAGCCCGCTGCTGCGTCCGTCTTTGTTGTGGGTCCTTGTCCGGTAGGTGGAAATAGAACAGGACAAGCTACTGCAAGGCTGGGCCCACCTCTCCCGTGAGGTGCCTGCACCCTGGGCTCGGAGCCCCGACCCACCCCAGGATAACAGGCTCTCCTAAGCCCCCTTTTTAGGATAAGCAAATGCAGGGCCCCATGTGAGACAAGGTAACTCTTTCCAGGAAGGAGGATGCAGTTGGTTCTTCCAGGACGCTGGTGAGTTTGTCTGTGGGGTTGGAAGGACGGTGCCCCCACTCTGCTAGGAGCTGGGGCTCGACCTCTCCCAACCCAGCCCAGAGCTCCAATGAGCGGGCTCGTTGTCCTGAACACGGCTCGTAGCCTGGGGTAGACTCGGGGTTGTCCACACTGGCACCGTGGCTGGGCTGCTCCCGCATCGCTCACCTCCGGAAAACAGTGCCCGGCGCTTGGGGCTGCACGGCCTGCCGAGTATGTGGCACGCCTGCGAGTGGGCACTGGGTTGTCACCTGGCCTCGTGGGGCTGCCACTCTTCGCTTCTGTGGATGCTGCTCGGAGAACCCCAGTCTGACGGGGGAAAGAGCACTTCAGACGTGACCGCGCTCGGTGCCCGCCCGCCGTGGCCCAGCGCTGGCTGGAATCACTGAAGGGCGGCGGGGGTGGCCCGGGGCTTTCTCGTCCCAGCGGGAGCTGCGTGTCATGAGGCACTCCACGTGGTCGCCCCACCTTAGCCCAGGCTTGCCTTCCTGCGCCCCGACTTTGTGGCTAATCCTTGTTCTGGTCATCTTCTACCTGCAGATGGATCACGACCCCAGGAACCCCGCGTATATTGCCACTCAAGGACCCCTTCCTGCGACCGTGGCTGACTTCTGGCAGGTGAATCCTTTTAAATTAAACTTTTTTTCGGAAAATAAGATCTAGTAAATTGGTCATGAAAGCGCCTTGAGTTCCATTAAGCCGGTTCAAACTCGTTTCCATGTGTTCGTCGAATGTTACTTGACTTCAGAATTCACTCGAGGGGTCTTCAAAAAGTCCATGGGCCGATTTGTATTATCTTTTATTCGTTTTTCCACAAACTTTGTGAAGTGCTCTACTATATGAATCCTTTAATTTTTTTTATTGTCAATCTTTTTTTCTAAAACTTGAGTACAAAAAATCTTTCATACTTTTGTTTGGGTTGAATCTCTCCCTTTGAGAGATTTAAGGCTTTTAAGATCTTGACCTTTTAGCCACTTTACAATTTCGTTTTAGAAATTATAAAGAAATGAAATTAACAAATGTTTAAATTTATATTATGTGCCTTTTATCTACCCTTTTAGTCTTACAAAGGTAAAAAATGGTGCTCAAATTATAGTCTGTCTTCTTGGTGGATCCTCTATAATGTATTTCAAGGGGCAGGACGGTCCCTTTTCATTCAGTGTCACCCTGGACCCCGCAGACCGAGGCTTGGACATTGAGAACTAGCGTTAACATTAGCTAATCAGGAGGAAACTAGGAGGGCAAACAGACCTCCCCTTTCCTGTGTTCCTCACTGTCCCCTCCCCAGTCACCAACCATGAGGCAAAGCTGCACAAGAGCGGATCTGGCAGGTGGCGCTGTGGTCACCTGCAGCCGCGCCCTCTCGTGCAGCGACAGTGATGAACTCCTGCCACACGGGGGGCTCTCCACGCGTCCAGAGGCTGCACAAAGACTCCCCGGGGGGGGATCGTGTCGAGGACAAAGGCAGGGAGGAGCAGCGCCCCTCGGTGCGGTGAGACGCGGGACAGCAAGCACCGTCACAGGCAGGAGCGCGAGGAGCCAGGCAGGGCAGCTGTTCACGTGCAGGCTGAGCTGTCCCGCGTCACTAGAGGCCATACCTTTTTCCAACTTGGTGATTCGTAAGAGTAAACAGACTGACGGGCTAAAGGTCAGTAAATTCACTGGCATTCCAGACTCTTTCTATTCCCTTCTGCAACTGTCCAGTCAGCCCTCTTCTGACTCAGTCCACCCAAAGGGAGGAAATATTCCTCTCTCTACCCCTAAGGATGGTCTCTGCAGGGGTTTTCTGGAAAAGCCCAGAAGGGATTGCAGTATTGATGGTGGGCCGGCAAGGTGCCCTTGTCACGTAAGCGTGTTAATACTTGGGTATCATCATCCCGTCTTATGGCCGAGGTCGGTGAGCATCCGGGAGACTCCATGACTCCCCTGAGCCAGCAAGGATGAGACATGCTGATGGGACCAGCCACTCCTTCTAGTTGTCTGTGTCTTCAGGCTATTGAAAAAATAAAGCTAAACTGATCTCTGTGTTCTGTTGTTGAAACTGATAATCATGGCTTAGAACCATGAACCTTTGGCCTTAGAATGTTTTTGAGGACCCCCAGTCCCACCACCCAAGGGATGCTGGGGTTTTCTCACCTTACACCTGCAGAGAGACGTCCAGCCCAGGTGAGATCACCTCCTGGCTTGGGGAGCTTGGCACCCTCAGGCCCCATCATCTGGGGACAGACTTCTGTGGTAGCAAGTTCTTCCTTCTGTCATGCAAAACTGTCTTCTTGAAGAGCAAACCCATCAGTCCTGGCTCTGCTCTTGGCATTGAACCCAAGAGTCTGTCTGGTGCTGCCCATGGCCCTGCAGCTCACCTCGACTTCTTACACTCAGGTAAGGGGACAGAGAACACTCTGGACTGTAGAGTGGAATAAGGAGCAGCACCACGGAAACCTACGTGAGGCAGTTTCCACCTACCTTAACCACCATCCAACACCTGCCTCTTTCCGTGTGGCGCTCAGTGCCCCTAGACCCACCTTCTCCCTCTCACCAGCCACAAGCCCAGCACTTGTCACACACAAGGCTTCTCTTGCCGACAGAATCACAGCTTCCGGAGCATGTGCTGGCACTTAGCAATGTAATTGCTCACACCTGCTGTCCCGTGTAAAAAGTCTGTGTTAGGGTTTGACCTGCTGACACACACCTTTGCAGTCTGTGAGACTCGGGGATCATAACCTGCCCAAGTTCATGTGACAGTCGCAGTTGCAGGAGACAAGTTGTTTTGTCAGTCTTCACAACTCGTGGGACAGTGTGGAGTTTATCGAGGAGCATAGATTCTTGAAATGGAAACAAAACATCTCTAGGTGAAACAACTCAAGAAAAACTTTAAAGTAAGATGAAGCGCAAGACGACGTGAGGCGCCTCAGTCAGTGCTTGTCAGATGCTCTGGGAGACGCAAGTGTCCTTCAGAACGGTGACAGCCCTTCTGTGGTGAGAAGAGTTCGCGCCAGCACGCTCGCCCGCCTGGCATGTTGCCGGGCCCGTGAGCGCAGCGGGGCCTCCGAGAGGTCCTGCGCTGAGGGCGCTCCTGTGACGTCGTTCCATCCAAACTCCTTTGGCCACAATGCCGCTGTTTGGCCGTCTTGGGGACACTACTTTTATGTGGAACACAGCTGGGAAATGCTCCCACCAGCGCAGGAAGAGCACACGGAGCCAGACTGAAGAGGTTTGCCCCAGCACAGTTGTGTCTAATGGGTCGGCGGCTGCTAAGTCACATATTTTAGGATGTTGGCTTCTATCAAGCAAAGCTCTTGGCTAAATAATTGCCCATGAGTCCCGGGATCAACATTCTCAAAAATCCAAAGTTAAGGTTACCTTTGCCGCCTTTAGCTTAGCAGAACGTGTGAAGAACCAGCACTGTCTTTAAAACTCCTCAGAGAGGACGGACATTGTCCAAACCCTGGGAAATGTGGAGGTGCTTTTCAGAATCACGCTTGATCTGACGCTGGGAGATGTCCGTGGCCGAGACGAGGGGCCGCATGGGAGCGCCCGTTAGTCCGCGGCTTGGGTCATCGTCTGGGTTTTTGACCTGGAGCTTCTGAGTGCTGGTCTGAGGCACCTGCCTGGGGCGGATGAGCAGGTGCTGCTTTCTGCCCATGAGCCAATTCCGGAGAGAAAGGCGAGATGGGAAAGCGGCTGCCTCAGTTTCCTGCAGCCGCTGTAACCAAGTGCTGCCGACTGGGTGCTTGAGATCGCAGGCGCTTGTTCCCTGTCTCGGTTCAGGAGGCAGAAGTCCAAGATCAGGGTGCATGTGGGTGGCTCCATCCGGAGCTTCTGGGAGGGTCCACCCAGGCCTCCCTCCCAGCCTCTGGAGTCTGCCGCCAGTCCGTGGTGCTCCGGGGCTGGAGGACACATCCCTCTGTCTCTGCCTGCGGCGACACGTGATCTCCTTCCCGCTGCATGTCTGTTTCTAGGTCCACGTCTCCCTCCTCTCTGTGAAGACACCAGCCACTGAACTTGGAGTCCGTTCTGACCGGTACAACCTCGTCGCAGCTTGAGCACATCCCCTTTCCAAACAAGGCCACACACACAAGTTCCAGTGGGCGTGGATTTTGGAGGGGACACTCTTCTACCCAGAACAATGGCTAAAGGAAAAGGGCCTTACCGAGCAGCTAGTCAGCACCATTGTAACATTGTGCCAGGACTGGTGACCATCGCAGAGTCTGGAGAGGGGTCACCAGGAGTGGGGCCCCATGGGGGAGGGGAAGGCGGCGGGAGTGCCGGGGTCTCCAGCACAGAGAGTGGCCCACCAGGCCCATCCAGTCCCCGAACGAGGGGGCTGCACACGGGATCGAGGGCGGCTCCTCAGGTCTTTCCGTAAATGTGGGGCACCCAGGACACTCCATCCCGTGGTGCTGGCGTTCAGCAGCTCCGGCCCTGCCCTGTCACCGTGCTGCAGAACCGCCTGCACCTCCGCCTCCTCCTGCCTGGGCGAGCCCAGCACAGGCGCCTCCGTCTACACTGCGGCCTCGACAAACCGGGATATACGGTCAACAGCGGGGGCCGCCACTGTCCTTCCTTAGTAAACCACCCGTTACCTAGAGGTTAGAATTCTTTCCCTAAGCACACATGATGCGTTGTAAAAATTTGATCTCCAAAAATCTGATTTATATAAAAATCCTAAAAATAAAAGTATTATATAAAGGAAGATAAACCTCAAATTAACACCCTGCCGCTGAGTGTGCTCTAAACCATTCACATGAATACCTAGTCCTTACCCCACCTCAGGGGGGTCCGCGTAAGTCCTCGTTAAGGTTCAGAAATCAGCTTTACTAGAAAGGGGCAGACTGGTTTAGAAATAAGAAATATACACCTATGTATATCTAACTTACCCAGTTGGGGAAGGCCACTTTTTTAAAAGCGTGGAGCCGTCTCCAGCTGCGTTATTTGAAGTCACGTCCAGATCTCAGGATGAAATGTTTCCGCTCTCTTCTACGTTGGTCAGACCATGCCTGGATTATTGCATTCGGTTCTGGGGTATCATGTCAAAACGGCGGTGACATGAGAAAAGCAAAGCAGAAGCAGTCCAGGGACATCAGAGGCAGCAGCTAGGAGCGGGAGAGTGTTGAGAGTCACAGCAGCAAACACTGGCATGTGGAAGGAAGACAGCAAACCGGATGACAAGCGGGACACGTCATCTCCAGCACGAGGGCTCCCTCCCGTCCTGCCACGGCCACGGTCAGCCTCACATGTCACACGAGGAACTTGCGCCTCTCCAGGAAGAGTCCAACGTGGGGTACCCCAGCCTCTGACACCCCACAGGCTTGGTGCTCTGCTGGCGTCTACGAGCTGTTTGGGGAGACGGAACATCTGGAAGGAGGGGAGTAAAAGAAAAGTCCCTTGTCCCCTGTTCTGATCCTTGCGGCTCAGAGCACACGTATGTCACATGGTCTTTCCCTGGAAGATACGTTTTAATCTGTCAGGATGCCTGTCACCTGCCACGTGAGGTCACTTCGAATGAAAAGCAGACACGCACCTGTGCGAAGATGGACGTTTAGGGCATGTTAACGTCAGGAAGGGAGGAGAGGGAAGTGGCGTTTATTGAGCTCTTACTGTATGCTAGACTCGGGGGC